CTGCAGAGGCACATTTTATGAATTCCACTGAAGCTGGGGAACTGCTGCATTAGGCAAACACCTCAATGATTGTCAAGTCAGCCTCGTGCTGTCAGAGCTGCTCTACACTGCCCAGGCAAGAGACAGCATATGTTCATCACCAGCCTGCACATCCTATGCAGCTTCCAGCACTAGCCCTGCACATCTCCATCAGAGCCCACAGGAGCACATCCTGTGGGCCCAGAGCCCTTTTCCTGGGATCTCTTCCAGGGCACCTGTCAAACACGTAGGGAGATGCTGCAAAGGAACCTCCTGAGCTGAAGTGAGCATCCAGTGCCCAGCTGCTGCCTGGCCACCAGCCCCTGACAGCACAAGCCAAGCCAGCACAAGCACGACACAGCTGCTCTTCAGGGAAGCAAGAGCCAAGCCAGCAGAGTCAGATTAGGACCAAATCTGCCCCAGACATGGCTGCACAGCCCTGCAGAATCTCCCCCCAGCATACCTGAGCCAGGCACACCATGCTGTATAGTTGAAATGTTGAAACGTGGCAAGGAAACAGATCTACTGCCCCAGAAAAAAGCTTCTGAATTAAAACTTTCAATAATAGCAAATCTCAGTTTTAATAGTGCAGATTGACACTGCCAAGAGACGTGGCAAACAAAATCAAATTTCAGTGGGCTGGAGGAGAACATAGGGAAGTCAAACCCCATCATGAGGCACAGTGCTGAGCTGAGGGACCTATGGCTGCAGGGAGCCCCGAGGTGGGTGAGCAGGTACAGGGTGATGGCACAATGGAGTCCTGGGGAGCCACTGTTACCGCTGTCAGACTGCAGGCAGCACTGCTGGGTACTGGAATTATATCTTCAAAATATACCTGGCTAAAGAATTCACGTCTGACAGCTTCAAGTTTTAGACAATTTGTACAGCACTAGAATGTGTCTGAACACTTGTCACTGCAGTTTCGTACAGGGAGCTGTGGCCACACACCAGGCATGCCCTGCATCTGTTACAGGTGCATCCATCACCTCCTGCAGGCACCACATGGAAATCACTGAGTACCCAAGCAATGTGCTGCTGCCACCTCTGCAGTGAGGACACCTGGTGCCAGCACCCCATGCACATTCCTGCACCTCCACGGCCCCACTCCAGCTGTGCTCCACTGCTCACAAGGCAGAAAAACCACAACTTTGGTTGCAAGGCTTCTGCTGTCTCCTGGGGAAGCAGAAGAAGCAACTGGGAATGCAGGTGACTGTGCAGACAGGAGGAAGGCAAGAGCTGTCTGTGCAGAGCCAGGAGATCTCAACAGCACACAAAATCATCTCAGGTCCATTCTGGTGGACACTTGGGGATTTGGTGCTGCTTCAGGTCCATCCTTTTCTGCCCAGGCTGGGAGCAAGAGCAGAACCCCCAGGTGCTGGTATCAGGAGAGGAAGGCACCCACATCAGCCAGCCAGGACCTGGAGAGCTGCAAGCCCCCCAGGCATTTCTCCAGATAGGAGGACCTGGAGCAGCAGCAGGTCTGGCCTCACTATTACCAAAGCTCAGGACATACACCTGGTGTTTGGGGCTGAGCCTTTGCCCAAATGCATTCTGCATCCTTCTGTCATTTCCCCTACAACACTCAACACCTCATCACCATGTGTCTGCTGAAGCCCAGAGCCTTCAACCATGGAATTATATGGTCTACCTTGACCAAAAGCTGAACACTTGCAAGGATCCAAACACATTTTCATTTGCCCACCTTATTCCGGAGGATTTAGGAGATATTCATCTCAAAACTAACAAAAATCCTTAAGTGGGTGTGCTGCAGAGCAGGAGGCATAAAGGGGGCACAGTCCTGTGCAGGTACCAGGCTCAGGAGGGCTGGCACAAAGCTCCCAGGGCACCTTTGGCTGGGCAGCAAACTGCATCTCACTGTTTTGCTCACTGGCTGTCAGTAAATTGACAGCCCTTCACTGCCTGGGGAGGAGAAGAGAGCCCAGACAGACCCCCCCCGAATACCCCACCCAGGCATTGAAAGCAGTGCTCCAGCCCCCCAGGGAGGGGACAAGTCCCTCACTTTTCCCACCACTCTAAGGTTTCTCCAGCAATTGAGAGGCATCTGATCTTTCAGGAGCCTGATATAGAGAGAGAATGCTGGTGTCATTACCAAGTTAATTAGAAAAACTCAAATGGAGCTTTAAACATTTTTATAATACATTTGGGTCTTTTTGGCAGGATTACTGCAATCTTTTGGGTTTCTATTTCCCATTAAAGCACTCTCAGTAGTGCACATATAAAAGCCATATGATCTTGGCTCCTTGCTGATTTTTTTCCTTTTTAGTTTTCCTTTTTTTGGGGTAAGATTTATTAAATATTGTAATCAGTTAAATTTTGGCAGCTTAAACATTTTCTTTAATAGCCTTGTTAAATGTGGATTAGATTTAAAATCCCTGCCTCTGAACTCTGGAGCAGCAGTATTTATATGCAACGCTAAAAAAATTAAAAGCTTTACAAAGTGGTAATTACTCCTCTGCTGCAGGAGGAGAGAGACTGACTTTCTAAGTTATTTTTAGGCAAGTTTTCCAGCCTCACCCTTCCCAAACAATACTACACAAGCATAATTTATTCCTCCTGAAGGACCACCCCCCCTACCCAGGTGTGGCACACCTGACCTGCAGAGCCCACTCCACCAGCTTTGGCTTTGTGACACCAGGAGCAGCCAGCAGCCCCTGCAGGACGCTGCTCCCTCTGAGGCCCCCCCACACCCTCCCTGGTGAGCGGGTCCCCAGCACTACCAGCCAGAAGCAGGAGCAGCCCAGCAACAGGTAGACAGGGGATGCTTCCCTTACTGCCCCACGGGCTCCCATCAGATGCAATGGGTGCAGCTGCAGCCCCCGGCTGGGGCAGCCCCTGCTCCTCGTTAAAGCACGCCCTGACCATCATCACAACTCCATGCCATGCTTGCAGGGAGCACAGAGACCTGGTTTTGTGTTAACTGAAGCCCAGGAAAACTTTCAGGTGCCATTAAGAACAGCTAAACCAGAGGGGACATTCCTTGTTCCTGTTTTCCCTTCCTTTCCTCACCACAGCAGCTCTGTATTGTGCCCAGGCTGGGACAGACCCGGCATGTGGGAGCCTGCAGGGGCTCCCGTGGGCAACAGACTGGTCGTGGCAGAGGCAGCACCCACGTCTCTGGGAAGGGCAGGGAAGGTAAGCAGTGATCCACAAAACATGCCGATGACACCAGTTTAGGTGAACAGGAGCAGAGCAGAACTTCAGGACATGCCATGGGGCACCAGCCACTGAACAGGGCACACCTGGGCACCACAAATGCAAACTCACAAAGAGGGGAAGGTGGCTGGACTCGCCACCTCTCACACCCCTGGGAAGGTTTGGAAAAGCTGACCTGGCTCCTGAGGGTAGGTTTTTTCAAGGCAGCATGTCCTGCTGGGACAGGAGCAGGGCAGGGCAGGGTGAGACCCATGCACAGGACTGCAAGGTGCATCTCAGCAGCTGTGCCCGAGTCAGCAAAGCCTTTCTGTGAGAAGGCGGGATTGCCAAATGCCCCTTTGGATGGAATGGAAGGCAGCTGGAGGGTCCCAAGAGATCCCTGAGGGTGCCCAGAGGAAAGCTGCCAAGCTTGTAGGCAGCACCCTGAACTCTAGGAAAGTAAAACCTCCCTAGGAGGGAGGGAGGGTTCAAGGGCTCCCCGAGCAGTGCTGAACCACAGAGCTTCCTTTCACCTGCACACCAGTGCGAGAGCACAGAGGAATCCTCCCCACAGCCCTGCCTGGGCAGCTCCAAAACTCCTCAACACCTGCGGTTGGAAGGATGAGCTTTGCTGAATATTTCTGAGAAACAGAAGGCACCTTTGGGAGCATTACCTGTGTTTTAATGAAGCTTTTTGCCATTGAATGTAAGTCAATTTTCTTGGAGTGATTACCCTATCTCTGGAGGGTATTGTAGGAAGAGATGAGAACCAGAGAGGGCCAAGAATAATATCAAGCACTGTAACAATTCTCAATAAGGAGAGACAGAAAAACAAGGTAGAAACAGAATGAATAAATAATGGTGTAGAAGAGACAGTCTGGGAGCTCCTCTTATCCCACTCTCATAACAAGAGGCGATATGATATTGAATTAAAAGGTGGAATAAAAGGGAAACACCTTACTCATGTGAGCTGCAACGAGTGTGTGGGGCCCTGCACAAGCCCAGGCGCTCCCCGGGGAGCGGGTTCTCGGCTCTGCCTCACAAGCACAATACCTTCAGCCCTGGATGCAGAGAAAGAGCTTGGGATCCACATGTGGCTTTGGTCCAGGTGGCAAACTGGATCCCTCCTGCAAGAGGCATCTCCCTGAGCTGGGGAAAAATTCAGAGTCAGGGGTTTTAGGCTGAGGTCCCTGCAGCTGGATGCAGGAAGGATGCTCTGCCAATGCCCTTACATACCAATGCTGCACTTCCACCCTGGGGTGCTGGTTTCTGTCCTCTGGACCTGCAGGTGGTCCTGCAGGGACTATCACAAAGCCACAGGTGAAACATGGGAGCAAACAGAGTGCTAATGCAGGAAGAGGCCATGAGCAGACTGTTCCTGCCTCATCCAGACCTCTGAAGCTGGCTCCCGGGGAAAGGACTTCAGGGAACAGAAACTCTCCTTAGTTCTGCACCAGAGAATGAAGACTTTCTCCTTTTAAAATTCATAAACCAACCCAGACTGTAAGTTACAAACTAAGGAGCTCCTATTTACATATATCACTGCAACAGCCACAGTGCTCGTTATGAATTATTTAGCATGATGCTCTCTCACACCAGCCCTGCTCACTCCATGGCCTCCTCTCAATTAGGCCTTTATGGCAGAGGGGTCAGTAATAACAGGTCACTTAACTGTAAATAAAAGTGACACTGGGAGATATGCCAGAGCATTTATTTGTACTGCTGTAATACTGTAAAAATGTGTTTATGAAGATCAGTTCCTCACGTTTACTTGTCATGCAAAAAATGTGTTTAGCAAAACGCACATTACACACACGTTACCCCCAGCAGATGTGGTCTCTCAGCGTGTGGGGGTGCTGAGCCCGCTGCCAGCTGCTCTCAGCCGTGGGCACTGCTGTGCCCCCTGCCCACCGCCTTGCTGGTGGCGAGGCAGAAGCTGTGGCAGTTCGAATTGTGCTGGGGAACCTCGGGGAGGTGCTGGCCCTGCCCAGTGTGAGGGGACGGTCCCATGACATCGTATCCGGGCTCGGGACAGTGCGGTCCCAGCAAGCACCCAGGACAGGAGCCAGGCAGGCCTGGGAGAGCCGCCAGGAGAAGTTCCTCAAATGAAATGTTTTGTGGCAAAGAAGCAAATTTGCTGACACTGAACCTTCTCAAGCCTGAGTTTGGTGTTGTCAATTTATTCGGCTTTTCAAAAGGACAGTGCTTTAAGCAGAAGTTTGGTGGTTTTCCACCTGACACCTTTAATGTTCTTAAAAAGTAAAAATTCAGTAAGGACATTAAGTTCTTCATTTTGGACCAATTAAGAACTTCCACACACAGAAAGGCTGCCCTTTGTTCTGTGTTTTATGGAGCTCTCTGCTTTGTAGAAGTTTTTGAAAAGTCATTTAATGTCAAACCAATGTTTCTGGGTTTTTTGAGCCTCAAGCAAACGGAAAAATCAGCTTTTTGCTCCACTCTCTGGGCAGCTCTCTCTCAGCTGGCAGCTCCTCCCCTCTCTGCCTGGCAGCCTCCATCCATCCCGTCTTTCAGTCTCCACTGGCACGACTGCGCCACGGCTCCCTCCTGCTGGCCAGCAGAGGGCCATGGCCCGGGGAACGGCGGGGACCCTGTGGCCTTCAGCCGGGCAGGGATCCCACCGACCTTGGTCTGCAAAAATCCACAAATTCATTTTCCATGAGCAATGGACCAATGGGCATCAAAAATCAAACTGCTGCCTAAAGGAGCTACTTGTCAGCAGACGATGTCCCTGGTACTGTCCTCAGTGCAAGGGGATGGAGAGGAGTATGGGAGAAGGGTCCCTGATGCCCAGCAAATCCCTGTACAGATGTAACCCTGGTCCCTTGTCCCCAGAGGATGTGACCAGCCCAACCTCGCTTTTCTCTGTACCTTTGCAAAAGGTTCTGAATCCCAAATCCCACGGAGAACAACAGGAGTATCTCCCTCCAGAATGCCAGTGGGTGCCCAGGCCCCAGAGCCAGGGATGACTGCTGCATCCCCCCTGACTCGGTGGGACAGGGCAGTGGAGCTGGGGGCTGCTCTGCCACTGCAGGACAGGCCTGGGTCCCACACAGCCAGCAGCAGCCCCTTCCCAGGGCTCAGTGCAGCTTTTCCCAGGAACTGTTATTAGCCTAGTATGGGAGGTGATAATAACAAGCCATTAATGGGAATCTGTTTGAGTGCCACTGTGTGGCAAGATCGTAAATTAATGGTCGTTTCATTTATTGTCATTTTGTCCATAACAAGATGCTGATTTTCCCCTTGGAGTAATGAAATTGATCTGTAAGAACCATAAATCGTCCCCGTGGTGTGGCTGGAGCCAGGTGCTGGATTAACAGGCTAATGGCAGAGATGTAAAAGCCCATGAATCGCGTGGGGGGGGAGAGGGTGGCTGCGCCGGGGGGGCCCACGCTGACATTGCACTGGCTCCTGTGTTGGAGCACTCCACAGGCTGACAGTGAGGTATCTCACCAGGAAGATCCAACTATCCCTGGGTGGCTTGCATTTTCTGCTCATGGAAAATTGTTTTTTAAAGACAAACCACAACGGCCCAGGACACTCCCTGACCTTCACCCCCTAAGAGGTGTCCCAGACAGATGCTGCCCAGCCTGCCTGTGCACCAGCAGCTCAGGGTCAGCCAGGAGGAGGATTGATGGCTTCTGCTGCCTTCAGCTGGAGCATAAAACAAAAACACACTGGAAATTTATAGCATCTATTGAGCTGAAAGGCTTCCTTTGTTTCATGTTCCCTGATGTTCCCAGGACTCCCAGCCAAGCACCTTTACTCAGTGAACAAGTCTGACTTCACAGCAATGACCACCTGGAAATAAAAATTAGGAAGTGAACGTTTCTCATAATTAAGTCTTTAAATGGAACAAGGAGTTAGAGCTCTTAGGGTGATGAGCACCCTCCCCATCCCACTGCAGAGACACCAGCCAGAGAGGCACGTACCCCACTCCACGTCTGTCCTGCAACAAGCTGGCTGTGGTGGCAGTTCGGGCAGCAAGGGGGCTGCTGGCAGTCACTGACCCGACCAGTCACTGTCCTGGTCACACCAGTGGGACACCCCTTCTCTCACCCCTCAAGTGCTTTAAATGCCTGCTTGGTGCCTGATGGAGCCCTCACTACTTCCCCCTTTCTCTCTCCTCATCTCGCTTTCACAAAATGAGAAAACCTTGCCTGGCTCAGGGCAGGATGTGCCACCAGGGCTGGCTGCAGAGGGGTCCTGTGGCAGAGGAAGACACTGGGGAAGAGACCCCCTGGGGCCCCCTGCTGCCCCCAAGAACCCTCTCCAAACTGGCAGCTTCTGAGGCAGGGTGTTGAGAAGGCCTTACAGATTTCTGGGTTTTTTCCTTGCATAATTTAGCAGAGATATAATTTTGAATAATGCTATTTTTCTCACTCAGATATGAGAAATATTAACTGGCCAAACTTTGCTGTGGCTGTCACCATCCTTTTAGCAGTGTGATTGCCAGCAGGGATTTATCGTCCTCTCTGCACCTGGGTTATTTGAGTTTTGCTTTGCTGCAGGGCCAGGGCAACAATAAATTTCCTTCTCCTCTGGAACATGCTCTAAAACCTCTCATTTTCTAATAAAGTGTTAAACCTTGGAGCAGCCCACACTGGCTCCGGCGCTGGAGAGGAGTTCCAGCTGAGGCGACGAGCTGCCTGCTGCAGGCTGGAGGGTACCCTTAGGGGCCAGAACATCTCTTCCCATGGTGGCTCTCATGAATTCTGGCTTTCTTTTCCAAGAGAGCCCCCTCCCCAGGCAGAGGCCTCCAAGGCTGATCCCTAGCAGCCCCACAACCAGCAGAGAGGAGAGCCTGAAGGCATTCAGGGAGGAGGTGCAGGAGAAGCCCTCAGATCCACTCAGTAAGGCCTGACCAGGACAGTGACAAAAGGGAGCAGCTTGGAGAGATTCCCCACCCCACAGTCAATGTGTCCCCAGTGCAGCCTCCTGCCCACTCCAGCCCACGCTGGAGCAGCACATGGCAGAATGGACACTGACTGGTGGTGGAGGGACAGTGAGAGCCACCAGTAGAACTGAGCCCACCCCCAGCATGGGGTTTGGGCTGCTAAAAAGGGTCCCAGCTGGCAGCCTGCCACCCCCCATCATCCCAGCCCTTCCTGCTCCTGTAAGGCTTCAGTAGAGGCCGACAGAGCAGGAGGGATGATGGGTGAGTGGGTGGGTGATGATCTGGTGCTGGTCCCATTACAGAACTGTCGGCAACTGCAGCACCGCGTTTCACCAGCCCAGCTGGTTGGTGAGTTACAGCAAGAGGCCGTGTTGTGGTGATAAGGTTTTTTTCAATATATTCTGTTTGCATTGGCATTGGTTTCACTCTTTCTCAACTGACTGATAAAGCCCTAGACAGGGGATTAGTCCTCTTGGAAGCTAAAGAAAGAGGTAATTTGAGTTGTTTATAGCCTGCAGGGGTAGAATCAAAATGTACAATACTGAGAGAGTCAAACTTTTACAGCGTATGGCAGAGCCATAACTCAGAGCAAGTATCACACATTACAGTCCTGCGAAATGCATTTCTGTGACAAAAGGCTGGAAAGGCAGAAAGAATGAGAGGAATTAATCTGTTCTTGGGACAAATATTGTAATGAAGACAAGAAATACCAAGAAAATTAACCCCTGCCTGGTTCAGTGTTGGCATCAAAGCGTTTAACCCAGAAGTCTTAACTCTGCACTTTGGGCAGCATCAGAAACAGCCCTTGCCCTAACAATTCTGCAGTACGGGCACAGGGGAGCCCCAGTCTGACCTTGGCTTTTCTGCGCTAAAAGAGTAGCAGCTTTCCCTCAACTGGGTTTTGCTGGATTTTCATAGCTATTAAATCTAATTGCTGAGATAGAGTTATAAAATTATAATTTTAACCATGCAATTTAGATGGAGTAACTGGTCGCCTATTTCTGTGATTATCCCTGATTATTAAATGAACAGCTGCCTCCAAATATGTTTGCAACAAACTAATTTAATGAGTGCATGTGCCTGAATATTCATAGCCCTGATTCGCAGCACAGACTTTTTCACTGTGGCTTTAAAAGTTAATTTATCCCAGCAATTTAAATAAATCCACTTCCATCAGCCTTGATTCAAGTTCCACACTTTAACACTGAGTTTGTCAGCAAGGAAGGTGTACCAGCATCTCCTCGGCAGCCACTCACCTAGAGCACTGTCAGAGCACAGACACCGGCACAAGTGTCAATCCCAGGCTTCTCCCATGCCTTATTTGTGGGTTTGACAACCCTCCTCTGTGCAGCACTAACACAGTGTGACACTCCATAGTCTGTTTGTTTTAGCTTTTCTGCTAAACTTTGCTACCACACCAATCAGTGCGGAAAATAATCTGCCTCCCCCAAGCACTGAAATATGGGTATGGCTGGCCGGCCGACAGCCAGCCAGTGGCTCTCCTGGCTGCCAGGCTGGTGTCAGCAGAGGAATGTCTCCTGACAGCCCAGCAGTCATCCTGGCATCAGGAATTTCATTTTCATCATTACGAAGGAGGTGTCTTGTGTTGCCACCAGCCAGGGTGACAGGCAGAGGGGCCAGGAGCATCCCAGGCAGCCAGTGCTGGTGTTCCCAGCCCGCAGTGTGCCAAGGGCAGCCATGGAGCAGCCACAGTGGCGGAGTACCACCACACCCAGGGGTCAGGAGAAGGCAGTGGGGCAGTCAAGTGCCCTTTGCTTGGCATCTGGCCACTCCAGCCATCACTTGTGGACCCAGACAGGTGCAGACAGCACAGACCGGGGCAGAGCTGTGCCGGGGTCTGGCTCCACATGGGATAAATGCTGCTGTCCCCAGCCTGGCCTACAAGAACACAACTTGGACTTAAATCTCTGTGCACCCTCCAGAGCAAGCCGCACTGCTACAGACTACTGCAGCATTTTAATAATAGTCACAGCACAATACAGACTGCTTAAAAACCCAAAAGTACTGCCCTGTAACATGAGCGGGTGCCCAAGAACAGTTATTTCACCTGATGCTGCTCCCACCATGAAGCTTCAGAGTTCCCCCTGGGGTCTCCCAACCACGGCAGCAGTGTGCAGCCTCTGGACCCTGACAGAAACCTCCTGCGCTTGGGAATGTGCTAGGATTTACATACTTACTGGAGAGAAACAGCAGCTGCTCAGAAGGCAGGCTCAGCTCCCAGAAGCATTTCCAAGATGCCTATTAGGCAAATGCTGGCAGGCCATGCCCAGGTTCTCCAGGCAATCCATCCATCCTGCCCCTGTAGAACATCGGCAGCCACTCTGCTGGAACAGGCAGGCACCAGCCTGGAACGCCAAGCCTAGTTGGGCCAGTGACTTGTGCAACCTCTGAGTGCAACAGCTTCCTCACATCCCCATAGACATGTCCCTTGGCAAGCAATCACCATTAAAAAAACAGCCTTTTAAAAGCTTTTATTAAAAATCCAAGAAAAACAGAAAGAAAAATCTGTTAAAGCATTTGAAATGTAAAGCAAGGCTTTCATTTCAACAGCTTCCCTGCTGCCTTTTGTCTCTTCCTGTACAGAGGTTTCACAGAAAATCCACAGTTTGACAGACGTTCAGATGATATTAAAGAAGGCAACGTCTGATTGTGGGGGAAAAGAAACAGTTCAGCTGAGCTGGGCCGGAGCTGTTGGACTGTGACCAGCTGCTCTGCAGAACCAAACGCCAATGGAAAGGAAGGCTCAGAGGGGCTTGGCAGCCCCTGCTAGAGAGAGGAGCCCATCCCACACTCACAGCTTTCCCAGCTCCCCAGTTTTTCTGAGGGAGCCTGTCCCCATGCTCGGTGCTGAGACTGCATCACCTGAGAGGCCATTTGCGGTGGGTGGGCACAGGGAAGGGCACCTGCTCCAAGAAATTTCCCCATCACTGGGCTCTGCTTGTCCTGGGCATCACCTAAGGAAATTTCCAAGGATTCACATGAAAACTCATCCCAGTGTAACCAGTCCCTTTGGAAGAAACCAGAGCTTCTCCTCAGCCCCTGCACGACTTCTCTCAGCTCTGTGTCCCTGCTCTGTGGGATTGTTCCCATGGGCAAAACAGGAGTGGGCCCTTTCCTGGGACCAGGGGCTCTGGGTCCCTTCCCGGGGAGCAGGGCTCAGCAGGGATGCCACTCTCTTGGCACTTGGAAGGCAGGAACAGGCTCCAAGGAACACTTCTGTTGTTCTAACAAGGAGTGATAGATTAAAAAGCTAGTTAAAAATTCATCCAGGAGAGGCAGAGTTTCCCAAGCATATCAGAGTTAATATTTATAAAGGGGATTGTTGCTCGGGCTCAATTATCCTAAAAGCTTGGTACAATTGATGCATTGGAGAAACCACGAACACAGGCATGTCAAGGGAAAACCATTCCCTGTGACTGCTAACAAAATGCAATCAGATCTGCAGCATGTGGAGCCAATTGATTTTCAACAAGTCATACAATGTAAACAAATGATTGATTCTCAGGGCTTTCATTTCTGAGCAAGCAGCCAGACACCTCTCCAGCTCCCGGCGCAGGTGAGGCTGGAGGGAAACACGGCTGCAGCGGGGCGGCCGCAGCCCTTTCATCAGCCAGCCAACAGCAGGAGCTTTGATTTTTGTTCCCTCAGCCCCTTAAGCAGCCACTAAATAATGAACAGTTCCTCATGTAAGCAGCCCCCGATCATGTGAAAACCTTCTGCTGCCAGTGGTCATGTCAGACCACATTCTGCCTTCACTGGGAGTAGGGAGTTTCCTATTTCTTTTGCATTTTGCCTCCTCTGATGTTTCCAGCTTTGCTCTGATTTACTCGAGACAGATGAGACAGGAATATCTCCAAGAGCTTTATCACTGCTTCCTCAGTGGCTGCAGCAGCGGCAGCGCGCTGGTGTGTGTGTCTGCGCCGGCCGTTCGGCGGCTGCTGAAATCGCTCCCCGCTCCCTGTGAAACCAAGAAGCCGCATCCCCACCGCACCGGCGGCTGCCGGACCGTGCCCCTGGGTATGTCAAATTAAACCAGCGCCGGCAGCCTGCCCGTAACAGCACCTGTCCCCGGGCAGGAGTGGGCACCCGGGAGCTGGAGATGTCAGTGCAGCATCCACCCCCACCAGTGGAGCCGCAGGGCACCGGGGTGACGACCACTGGCACATCTCCCTTTCCCCTCATCAGCGCCCCTCTCCCGCCCTCTCGCTGTTGCGGTGCGGGGCAGTGCGGGCTCCCGCACTGCCCTGAGCCTCGCCGGGTGCTGTCGGGATTACCAGTCTGAGGAGACGAGTCACGTTTCCATGAACTGTGATAATCATTGCAGCAACAGCTTTAAAACTGCGTTTCCGGAGCTCCACCACCCGCCTGTTTCCGCCCCGTGTGCAGTGATGAGCTGTCGGACACTTATGCAGCACAGGGTCCTGAGGGCCCCCGGGCAGGGGGAACCACTGCCCCATGTCCCAGAGCCCCAGGGGACAAGGACCTGGATTTCTGTTCTCCCAAAGCTGCCAACCACCTTTGCCAGCAGTGGAAAGCTGCCCTGGGGGCGGTGGGTCCCCGGGCAGCCCCGTCCGGGCGTGCAGGCCCTTCCCTGCAGGGTCAGCACGGGGCCGCCTCCTCGGATGTCCGGCGTGGGCTGCAGCTGCCCTCCGGCTACGGAACCGAGTCCTTCCCAAGAACAGCCTGCTCCTTCCAGAGCCCCCGGCGTTAGGCATTCACTGACCCCCCGCTGGGGGTTCCCGGAGGCGGCAGAGCCTCGGGGCTCCCCGGTGCCCGCCCGGCGGTCTGTGCGGTGGGACGGGCGCTGTGCCGAGGGTTGGTGGTGCCTGCGGTTTGCCGGGGGTGCCAGGCACAGTGCCCGCTCCCTGCGCCAGGGCTCGGCACCATTCCCCACAGGTGGGCACAAATTCTTCCTAAAACACAGAGGAGGCTTGCATGGGTGCTGAGAGATTCCCACACAGATGCCACCAGGGCCAGGAGTGTTTATCTTTAAAATTAAAATGGTCTTTTTAAAGCAGATTAAAACTCATTGTGAAAGTAACCATGAACATCTGTGATCTCCCCACAAAGGCCTTCCTGGCTCTTTTAGAATTTGCCCTGTTCTCATTATAGTATCAGCATAATTCTGCCTCTTTATTTAAAGCCTGCAAGATATTTATATTTCAAATAATTTTTACAGAGTTCAAATGTGCATCACAAGCTGTTTTTCTGCTTATGTATTAATTGTATGTGTGTGTCCAGTGCTAAGCCCGATTGCCATGTAATTTGTACGACATAATTAACCATGTAGAAACCATATTACATTGTGTTTGGAAGAGTTACATCCAGTTAATCGAATTGACTAATAACATGTTTTCATTTAGTAGCACGTACTGTATTTCCAGTGATTGAATTAACGTCATGTTAACGGCTGCTTTTTGCAACAACATTTGGCATAAATGGCATTAAAAATTGATGTTCGTACAAATGTATTTTGAATACAGCTCAGCATGTGGCCTGGGAAAACACTCCTGTTGTTTATTAAATCAGCTCCGCTTGTGAGTGTGCTCCGAGGCACAGCACTGTTGCCCTGCCCATGTGCTGGGACCCCTGGGACCACTGTCCCCCTGTCCTGCTCTGGATCTGAGCCGCCCCAACTGTGGTACAGACTCCTCTCGCTCCCTTGGGTGGCAGTGCCTGGAGTTAGAGTTGGGCTCGTGGGACACATTTTAGAAGGGATCTCTGTTCATCAGGCTGTGATGGGAAAGCTCTGGGCATCTGCTGGTAGAGGCAGCACCAGCCATGCCCTTTGGAGAGCCCCCCCCCACTGTGCCTGGCCAGCCTGCTGGCCTCTCCCACAAAAGCCACGAGGATAGGATGGACACATGCTCTGCAGCCACCTTCTTCCCTCCTGTCCATGTTTGCAGATTGTCCCCAGGGAGGTGGATCAATGTGCCTGTAGCCAGGAGGCTCCTGCTTGCTTTGACCTGCAGTGGGAAACAACCGGTGTTGCCTAAAATCTTAAGGTATCACCAGAACTGCAGTGCCTGGGCCCCTCTCCACAGCTCTCCCTCTCTGGAGGAGCCAAGAGAATAGGCAAGGCCCATGGAGCACAGCCAGGCTGGTGGTGTCCAAGTCTGCAGCCACAAGCACAGTGAAGGAGCCTGAGCCTGTTTCTCGTTGAGGGATTAAAAATACTGATCTTTTATTCTATACCCAGCAGCGCATCCTGTTTCTGCTGGGAAGGAGGGGTTTGGTTTAAGATACTTGTGAAAGCAAAGGAAAGAAAGGACAGGAAAATTGTTGGTTTTGGTGGCACTTGTCTGGGAGCCAGGAAAGCAGAAAAATAAGGCACAGATACATTTGTGCTGATGGCAGCCTGATGTCTTGTCTCCTCATACACATTTTCCATGCTGTTGCAAAAACGCTTTCTCCTCACCTATGTAAGCACCACTCCTGCAAAAGACACCACGAGAGGTCTGTGAGCCAGGGGTGCTTCACAGCTCTGCAGGAGAGAAAGTTTCCCTTCCTTGGTTTGCCATTTTCTTTGCAAGTTATACAGGCTCCATTCTCCATCTCTCATACCGTCACTGCTGATTAGTTGCACAGGTGAACATACCTGTGCCCAGCCGGGACCATGGAGAGGGGCACGCCAGGGCTCCTTTCCTGCTGCTGACGTGGCCAGCTGTAACCCCATGGCATCCACAGTCTGCGTGGGAGCAGCAAGGAGCCGCTGCAGTCGCTTGTGCCCTCCAGCACTGCCCATCTGCATGTGCCACCCTGGCATGGTCTGTGCACAGTGAGGGAAGGAGCATCCTGCAGATCATGTTGGAATGGGACACGTGGTGAGGCAGGCAAGCTGAGCTGGACATCACAGTGCAGCAGGGAACAGCCTTTGCCTTAGTGCATGAGGCAGGCGTGGGCTGACCCCACCAGCTAGGAATGCTGCTCCCAGGAGCCCTCAGCACACGGCAACCCAAGCTGATCCCTGCGAGTTTCAAAGGCAAATCACGGACTCAAGCTCCACCAGAGAATCAGCACAAAGAGAACTGACAGCCCCAACTCATGGGACTGTACCTCGTTGGTCCCCAGTGTGCCATTGCATCCCACCTGAGACATCGGTGAAACAAAAGCGCACCTGGAAAGAAGCTTAAATCACAGAACCACAGAGCAATTAAGTCATGTTCATACAGAGCTATTAGTGCTGATTCTCACACTCTTTACATAGGAGCAGCACATAATAATAATTTCCAATTAAATTACGTTTCTCCAAGGTGCATTAACAACTTCTATCCGTCCGATTAATTGGACCCATCTCTGCTGCATGGAGCAGTTACACCACTCCAGAGGGAAACCAGACAGTTAACAACCCCCCCTGCTGTGGTGCTAATGCAGGAATAGTGCTGTAAAACCCATGGGCACACTCACTGCAAACTGTCCACCCAAACACAGCTCCTGGCTCTCTGCCCCATGCTGTCCTGCGCTCTGCTCCTGCTCCTGTTCCTGTGGTGTGACACAAGAATACGCCAGTGCCTGGGCTCCGTTCTGGCACTCAGCTCTCGCCGCTGTCTTCTCCCAGGACACGGCGCCCAGCAGTTCTGCCAAAGGCGGCAGCTTTGGTGAGGAAATTGCAGAGGGCCCAATTTGTGCAGGAAGAGCTGACCTGCTGCCATGACCCAGGGATGAGGGTTTATTTACTTGAGCGGGATGAATAATTCCATGCAAATTCTTTGGGCACTCAATTCTTCAGACTCCTCTTGGTGAGAAATGAAGGGAGATTCCTCCCATGAAGGAGAGAGAGCATCTGTGCAGGAGGGCAGCAGCAGAGGGCCAGCACATATCTGAAATACAGCGAATGGGACACCCAGATGTGTGCATGGTGACTCGAGTGTGTCTGCAGAGAGTGCACAGACACGGGAGCAGCTGCACCTGAGATGGAGCCTGAAGGCACCTTCCTACCAAATAGGTAAGCAGAGATCTTAAAAAACAGTTGCCTTCTGACCCTGGAGCTCTGTAAATCAGGTCAGTACAGCTCCATGAGCCCTGCCACTTCCTCATGATTGCAGTTCCTCTGTGGGAGTGACCACCTCGACACCTCTTGGGGATTGAAGTAAATTACCCTGTGGCAGGAGGCAGTGCAAATACGGGAACAGGCAGATGCACCCAGAGCAATTGCCTACACCCACGTGGACACCAGGCAGCTGCACTAGGGAGCAGTGAGACTGGGTGGGCATCAGAACATCAGCAGGGTCCCTAAACCAGAAACACATTGAAATGAGCAGGGATAGGACAGAGACAACCCATATGGGAGAGGGAGAGGTCTTTTCCAGGAGGCCTGACAGGCCTCTGACCTGCGCTGGAGAGGAGGTGCCGGGATGGCAGAGGCACATGTGTGTGTGTGCACCCATATGCCCGTGCCCATGCTGCAGGGAGGGGAGCTTTCTCACTCATTCTGTCCACAGGCACAGCTGACATATGCTCAGGAGCACACAGTTATCAAAATGTTATAAATTGCTGCCTTTTAAATAGTGTGGTAATTTGCTAGTCCATTACAGGAGGAGCTGTAGTATACAAGGAGCACGCTATGAAAAATTAAGCCCTCTGCGTCACTGCTGACCTCCGCAGCTGAGGTGCTCTCAGAACTGCTCCATTATGTCAGCCTGCCCTGAGCAATTAGCCACCCCTCAGCACTCATCTGTGTGTCACTGTGCCTCGGAGGACAACACTCGCCCAGCAGTTCCTTTCCCGGAATCATTCACTGTGGAGGTTCCACTCACGACTCCATCGGCCCAGTGGTCACCAGGAGATGGCCCCAGCAGGGGACCCCAGCGGCTCTGCAGCCACCCCTCCTGCTGTAATCAGTGCACTTGTGTAGCCATCACTGTGAGCTGTGACACCTAATTTTAAAGCAGCACTTTCACTCTTTGAATTCCTCAGACCTGGAAACAATCCATTCTTGTGAGAAGCAGTGTTTTCAGTGGAAGGGCTGCTGCCCAGCATGGTCCATGCAGAAGGCAGCCTGCTCCACCATGGCAGCACTGATGCTTCCCAGCAGGATGTGTTCATCTGGAGCAGAGATAGCCATGCTCCCCCCTCCAGGTTCTTGCTGACAAATGCACAGGTCTCGTCTTCTCATGGCAGTCCTCAGCCCTGTCCCACTCTCATTACCTCCAAGTTTCAAAAAATCCTACTTTTCCAGTGTTGAAGCAAACTACAGTTTTTCTACATAGTATATAGCTTTTACTCAAGGAAAACATAGTCTATGATACAGATCATCTTTAGTCTCTTAAAGGATTCTTGGAACTCCTGCAGGTCTTGAACACAGGGATATAAATTTTCCCTTTGTTGCCCACTGAGGTACACATCAGAGATCCCATTTCCAAGGTCTAAACTCCCTAAGAGGGAGCTTCTTAAAGCCAGGAAAGAAGCATGGAGCCTTTGCAGTGCCACCTCCAGCATCACACAAGAGTGCTGGAGCCAGCGGATGGGGATGAGCCACAATGGAACCAGCTCAGGGTCCTAGGACCTCTGGAAATGACCCTTGGGAGAGCACACAGCATCCTGTGGATGTTCACAGCCTTGGGATTGAACAGAAGCCCCTGACTGCACCAGTCTGAACAGACAGCAATGGGAAAAGGCAAACCAACCCCTCCTGTCTCCCAGAACAGCCTCTCACCTCCTCTGTGCAACTACTCCTGGGCCCCTCTTTGGAGACTTTATATCCCGGCTGGCCGCCTGGGCCCAAGGGCCAGGGAGCAGCCCCTGCCCACAAACCGCCTGCATGGTCCCAGCCAGTCCTGGCACACCTCAGAGCCCACCTGGTTTGTTCCAGCACAGGCTATGTCCCATTCCCAAGCCTTCGGCCAGGAATCTCCCATCCTTGAGGCTTCACAGCAAGGTGTGCACCAGCCCAGGACTGCACTGCAGTCAGGGAGGGCAGAACCCCTGGACATTCAGCTCACACCCGGAGAATTATGTTCATTACACCAGTTTTGTGCAGGACAAAGGGATATTTCTCCTAAACCATGTTTAATTTCTGCACATAAATCCCTCCAAACTGAACTTCCCATTTATTTTATGTGCTTAGATATTTCCTCATGAGTTGCAGGTGAAATCCACATCCTGGCACGCACATGAAAGCAAATGCAGAAGGAATGCATCCTGGCAATATATGCATCAACCCTGAAGATATATATTTGCTTGCTGGGGAGGAAACACACAAACACCAGCTATTATTTTCTCTCAAAATATACGTTTCAGGACAAAAATAAACATGTGAACACAGGATGTGTTACTTGCAGGCTTTCTGCCCAGAGCCAAGGTGACAACCAGCAGTTCAGAGGAAACTTGCACACAAGTTATGCTCAGCCTGCTCATTAAAAACACATCAGGGAACCTCCAGCACCCTGGGAATCCCCGCAGCACTGATCCTATCACACACACAAAACACACAGGCTGCTGCCGTTCTGCTCTAGGAAAACCAGGCAAAACAGGGAATGCAGGAAGGGGCGCAGCAATGCAGGGTCAGGGGCTGGCACAGCCTGGCAGGGCTCCCCACCCACTGCACCCAGTGAACACCCACTCTCCTCCAAGGGATGAGCCAATGCTTCCACCATGGGTGGTTGTCCTGGTCCCTGTCGGTGTGGGACAGCCAGGAGCTGGGGCAGGACCTCGCCAGTTTGCATCCTCCACATCACATTCCTCACAGGAACACCGGGGAGCTTTGTGGGATCGTGAATATGAATTGCTTTGACCTCACTTAGTCTGATATGGTGGAGTATTAAATCTCTATTTTTCAAGCATTAAGCCTGCGTAATAGAAGGATGCTGCGAGCAATTTGCAGTAAGATGAAGGGATATTACTGTCCTGGGAGACAGACAATCCAACCACATCCACAAATTGATAACAGAGATAGTGGCTTAGGTTCATGCTAGCTATTAATTAAGGGCATGTTTTATGTGGAAGACAATACCAGCTTACACAGGCAGGTACTTGCTGGCCTCCCCTCCCCTGCGGTGAGTAGCACTCCCAGAGCTGGAGCGCAGCCAGGTGAGTTCGTACCTTGCTGAACTACAGTTCACACACTTACATTTGAATCTCTGACAGGCAAAATTAATTTCTCAAGCCTTTAGCACTGCAGCTTCAAAGCGGCTATTCTGGCTGAGGAGCTGCTAGGAGCTGTGCCACTGGGATCAGCGGGCGAGCCCTCCTTCCAGGGACAGTCAAAGGCTTGGCCAGCGCAAAGCACCACCACCATGCTGACAGCTCTCACATCTCTGGCTGCTAATGAGCACTAACCATGTCCTGAGCTCTTCCTCTGCCCTCAGAACTCACTGCCTCGTTAGCTGGCTGATCCTCAGCTCTCAGCAAAGAAATCCAACATCAGGTTTCACTCTTTCTTGCCTTTCCTTCTCTCATCTTGGCTGTGGCAGCATCCCACCCAGCTGAAGGATGTTATCCTTCTCCCACTCACTGCCCCCAGCAGGCTCCTTGCATTTCCCAGCCCCTGCGGTGGGACTCTCTCAGCATCTCACATCCACTGATTGACTTGGGTTGATTTTACACAGACACTAATTTTGTCCTAATTACCAACAGAATATTACCCTTTTACAATCTTTTGCTCCTCACCCTAAAATTCAGCAGCAAGCCTGCAACATACCCTGACAGCTGCCCCCCATGCCGGCACAAAAGACCCACCACTGCTTCTCTTTCAGGAAAACCCCTCCGCAGCCTCAGCCAGGTTTCCCATGCAGGGACACTTGCCCTCAGGAGCTCGCCCTCAGCAGCCCACAGCCACCTGTGGGGCAAGGTGAAACATCGTGGAGGGCAAGAACCAAGAGACCCCAACCAGTAACCCCCAGAACCTGTCTGGCTGTGGAGCCAAGGCCCAGAGCACCAGCAGTGCCACGGTGTCTGAGTGCTCTTCTGGAGAGGGCCTTCCCTGCTGGGAGTTGTAAAGCCAAACAGCGCAGGTCAGCTGCAGAAATACCCTACGGAATACCAGAGGAAGCAGCAAAACAGTCCTGTGTGATGAATAAATTGAAGCATGCCTTCTTATGGACAAGCACCTATGGAGAAGAACCCAGACAGATAAATCAGTGGGCTACGCTGAGGAGATAGAAGAGGTTTATTTTTTTCCAGATGGGACTAGAGAACAGCTGGAGAATTGATGAGGTGATAAGGACAGGAGTTGGCTCTGGGCAGGCTCCCCCTGACACATCAGAAACCTGTGCTGGGCCACTGGCAGGTCACACATACACCCCTTTCTAGAAAACTGTGCTCAAAGATGGGGGGAACTCCTGGTGGGAAGCATGAGCGCTTACAAACCACAACAGCTCCCTCCAGGCTCTCCTGATAAAGTGTCCCCTGGCCACTGGTTCCCAGAAACATTGGTTGGACCTAGGGCACGTCCATGAGCTGGACAGGAGGGGACCTGCTCAGACATCCCCTGGCTGAGCAGAGCAAGGAACGGCAAGTAGAGACCTTGGTGGGGGCTGCTGGATAGGGACATGCTGGTCAATGGTGAGAAATGGAAAAAGATACAAAACAAAGGGAAAGAAAGGATAAACTGGAAGTCGAGCCACTGAGGATGAGAGGAGAAGCTCTCCGAGTGAGAGAGCTCACAGCTGCAGACACATCTGGCCACAGGCTCACCCCGTCTGCAGGGTCTCCATTAAAAGCCAGATGCACATGTACTTATGAAGCCACAACATGTCCTGGCCTGAAGTGACCATCAGCCCAGCAAGTCTGGAAGTACCTGTGCCTTTGCACAGTCAGCACCCATACCCAAATCCTGAAGCCGTATCTGTACTGTGCCCAGCACGCTGTGGATTACAG